CAGGCTATTATTTGTGATTGATGACATCTGTTAAGGAACTGCTTGCAAGCCAAGAGTTGTGGAAGTTGAAGGCCAAAGAGCGCCTGTTTTTCTCAGATGAAGTTATTGAACAGCACTCAGTGTTAACGAAACCAGAATCTTCAGATTGGCTTGCATCGCACAATGAACCCGGGCAGAGTTTTATACAGTATAGAAAGGACTTATCTGCAAAGCTCCCAAAGCATACCGTGTTATTAATCATTCCGATTAAATGCTCTCCAACTGAGCCACAGATTCCCGATCAAGTGCTTGGTCAATTGGATAAATTTGCTCAAATATTTTTCCAAACGAAAGTGCAAGTTGAAAACTACACTCAAGTAGACTCCAAAAGCCGCATCAACAGCTACACAGGAAAAGCACAGCTTAATTGTCGAACGATACTGGCGACTCTCCTCGACTGGAAAACCAAAAAAGAGTTTGCAATTATCCTACAGTTCTTTATTCAATGATTCTAAAATAAATAGGCAGTTTACCGCTAAATCTTAACAATTTGTGATTTTTTGTGAGATTTTGGGATCCCCACATGCGGCTTTTTTATGACCTACATGATTTTTGCATCCAAATTTTGTAGTTGCCTTTTTAAATTTTAGAAATAAGCTTCATGTTGTATTTATGATCGAAAGAGTTATCAGGCAATAGATGATAGTCGAAACATTCTGTGCTACTTTCACAGTAACCGGCTATCCTTGCTTCCGATGTTTTTTCTAAAGCATTGCATTTTGAATTTTTTTCCGAAATTTTCGTTGTTTATGCTTCGAATCTATCTATCTATCTATTATTTACTTGGCGTTTCATTTGACACATGTTTAAGAAGTTCTTAAGCTTACATGTTTAAGAAGTCTCAATGTTTGCATGTTTAAGCTTTCCAACGTATTAGTTTTGCATGTTTAACGAAAAAGTTTTTGCACGTTTCAGCTATATTGAATATTAAAATGCTTAAGAAAATTCATTTGACACATATTTAAGAAGTACTTATGTTGTTCTGTTAAAAGGCCAAGCCGTTGCAAGGGTTGAAAATTTAACTCAAGTCGGCGTTTCAAAATCTGTTGGAACGCGAATGCTATAACTTTTACATTTTTCCTATATTCGCAAAACGTAAAACTATCAAAGTTTTTGTTTCACAATTTACTTAAATAATTTTGAAAGTTTTTACCCTATAGTGGGCCGATATCAGGTTACATTCAGGGGTTGCAAATCTGGTGTCCAAGTTTGACTGCTCAAATCCTTTTGATTTCCGAGATATAGCGTTTTGTATGGTTTTTTCATTTTTATTTCGAAAAAACTTTTATAAAATACTAATCGAACTTGAAACTCTCAACCCTATAGTGGGGAGCTGTCAGGGTAAAATCATGTTTTGCAATTTTTTCTTCCAAATATGACGGCTCATATTCTTTTAGTTTCCGAGATGTGGCAGTTTTTGTGATTTTTTTTCTTAGATATAAAGAACTTAAATATGAAAGCAAACTGATAGAACTTGAAAATTCTCAACCTTAAGGCGGAGTCCTGTCAGTTACACATCGGCGTTGCAAGTCTACCAGCTAATTATGACTGCTCGAATAAATCCTTCTGGTTTCGGAGATGTGGCAATTTTTGTCATATTTTTCAATTTTTTCAAGAATCTTGAATTTAAAAAAAAACGAACGATCTTGAAATATATTCTCTTTTATTATTACTTTTCACAAAAACTTGACTTGCAAGCAACTAATAGAAATTGAAGATTTTATCTCTGTGATGGGATGCTGTCAGAGAACAATATGGGGTAGCAAATCTGCTCTCTAATTTTATCGGCTCAAATCATTCGGGTTATCGAGATATTGCGTTTTTTTTTACGAATGAACAGCTTTTTTTTAACGTTCAACGATCTATTCGAAGCACCGCAGGTGCCAGTCATGAGCTAGTTACGTGATTAATTGGTGATTTTTTTACAAAGTTTTGGCCTTGAGTGTTTGTAATAGCTTTTGTTGAACTGTGTTATGTTTCAGCTGCTTAAAAATTGGTTTCAGTTATTAATTCCAACCATCGATGTGGTATTCACTTGATTCAGAAAACTTTTTGCTTCTAATGTGCTATAGTGTGAAAATCCATTTTGTTCCGTGCGTACAAAAATGGTTGCGTTATATTACGAGCTGACTTTAGTTGGTAATAACTAGATAGACATGCATAGATGATGAAAACCTTAATCAAGCTGCTGAACAACTTGATAACTGGTGCGGCCAAATTTTGATGGAAATCAAAACAAGCAAATGTAAACGCCTGAATATAAGAGGTAGTCTGACAACAATCCTAAATAATGTCGAGTTGGAGGCCACCAATGTTCAGAAATATCAAGGGTTATTGATAAATCCCAGCCTTAACTAGTGACAAATGCAACAGACGTGTTCAAAAAGCAACCGGAGCTTTCTTTCAGCTGAAACAAAATATTTCATCTGTATGTTGGTGAATAAATAGACTACATTCCTACACTGGTTATATTCTTCCTATCACATATTGTTCACAGGCTACCAAGCAAAACAAACCTTATGAAACTTGAAAAAGTACAACTAATGGACACAAAGTAGATCCTCTCCTCTACAAGTTATTAAAAAGAACGACTAACTAAACTAAATTTCTTAGCTTTGAGTCTGTATGTTGAAATGCACGACTTGCTCCTTTATCTATCAATATTAAATTCCAAATACGACATCAGCGAACTTTACTGGAATTATTCTGTCAATAATTTCATGTATGGGAATAAGTGCACTTCATGTATGGAATAATCATCTGCAATTGTTCTCTTTGCAATAACTGGAAAAACTTGTCTAAACTTTATTTATAAATGAGAAAATTAACTTGATGAGTAACAACAATAACGGGTCTTACGACCCCTGAGGACCAAGGCTCAGAAGCCTCAACTACTACTACAACTACTACTTCTACTACTACTATGGGTCATCGAGTGCAAGGTTACGATTAACGCTTAACATATATACACAGACTATTCCGTTTTTATGACATCTGAAAGATATTGATTTCCTGAGCTTTGGATTTTAAAAGAATTTCACCTGTAAAATTTATTCGCAAACTTTTGGGTTTTGGAAATTGCCATTTAGACTTCACTTAACTTTTTTCTATTGATTTCAAGCGCATATGTAAATGTTTGTCGTTACCATAAGTTTCAGTAGCGCAGTTGTGTATGCCAGCCAACTAAAACTTGAATGATCAATGATTGAGGGTTAATTCCCGTAGAGGTCATTTATTTTTCAGAGCTCATACATTGTAGTTTTTTGACCCTTTTGAAGCTAATTCTGATGTTTGTTTGCTAAAGCTTGGGAAGCACAGCGCCGCTTCTTTGGAAATTTGTTAAACCCAAAAAATCTTCAGTTTTTTGTCTTGGCCTAATGTGAAAAATCCTAAATAGTTGCCGCCTATTCCTCTGTGTTTTCATGAGAACTTAAATAATTGTCAATAAATACATCAGAAAAAGACAATTTGAATGTCATCGCTTGAGTTATCCTCCACACCTCGCCATGAAGTTATACAGAAGCATGAACTTAAAAATCGTTTTGGCCCATCTGAACAGAACCTCCAAGTACCGACAAAATGAATTATCTCCCCTATTCTAGTGTTATTTGCCCCCGAAGGGATAGATTGGGCATGCCACTAGCATTGGTTACTTGAATGTCGTTTTAACACTGGACTCATCGGAATTGATCTCGCATTGTGTTATAAAGTTGCGAGGCGAGCCTTCTCCGTCAAGCTAATTAGCTTAGCTCTCCCGATCCTTCGTGCTTTGTGAGCTGAAGGTGTTAGGCTACACGAAGGGGGCCAGTCAAAAGATAGGATATTTAGATCCACCCGTCTGCTTGCACAGTGGAATTAGTGCTGCGCGTCATGCCGCCCTAAATTGCAAACAGTGCATAAATTAGCCACTTTGGGTTCAATCATATTTAGGTTGCCATTCAGGATGGGTGAGTACCTGGAGCGGAGCTGCGCAGATGTGCACCTAGCCTTTTTTTATTTCAATTCAGGATTGGTCATACCCAAAATCTACTGTGGTCATTCTCAGCTAAGTCTCAGAGTTTTAGTATGCTGATGTTTGAGGCCGATTTCAGTGTTGCTGTCATTAATTGGCTTGTTGGTTGCTTTTGGAGGAGTTTGTCCGGACAGATATTTAATGATGGTCCATAGCTTGCTTGCCGGAATTGTGGTGGCATTTTTTTAAGGAAAGTTCTCTTTTTTTTCGTTTTTGTCATTTTGGATAAGGATTAAGGACGAGACGAAACTATCCCGGCAAAGTCTCAGATTTGTTCGTTTTTACCATTTCGGAATTAATGGTTAATCAGTCGACCATTGTAAAAGGTCGTTTTCAAACATTTTTAAAAATGAAGCCGTGTTTGCTATCTTAATTCTTTGATAAAACAATTAATTTTTGTTAAAACAGAATAGTTTTTGTTTCTCTGATTTTTTTCAGCACGTAAGGAAATGTATGAGGGAAATGAGCTTTTCTTCAATCATAATATTATTAATCCGCCCATCTGAAAAATGTAGAAGAATTTGGCATTCGGGTGTTTTTTCTTTCGTTTTCCAAGCAAATTCAGGTTCCACACATAATCATGAGAATGGGTCGAGTGATATATCATATCGGAGCTCTTTCAATCGCGATTCGAACTACTTCAAGAAATTTGGAAAAAACTTCTGTGTCGCGAAAAACCAGTTTGAAATTTTTGTTCTAATTTCACGCTGATAAGGTGAGGCTAAACAGGCTAACAAAAGCTTATTTATGCTCAATTAAAGCCGTGAAAATTTAGTTAGTTTGGCTCGAGTAATTTTAGCGCCAATTTGGAAATCAAAAACTTCAAAAATGCTGACTTTCTGAAAATATTTGAATTGTTTATACGATTTTTCATTTTTCTAGTCGTTTCTACAAAAATTTTGCAATTGGCTTATTTTACTCTGGCTGTCGAATATGCCTAAATTCTATTTTTTCGTTCATGTCTTTATCACATCACGCAGAAAAAAACTACAATTTTTGAAAAAACGTCTTGTTTCTTGGAAGATTAGGGTCGGAACATTCTGTGCTACTTGCACATTTACCGGCTATCCTTGTTTGATTTGAAAAATGATGATCTATTGAGAATAATAGTTAATAATTGACAAGCGTGCACGTTCGGTATAATTCAGCACTCAGACAGTGTCCCTAGTTACAATTGAAAATTTAGTTTACCAAGGTTTAACCTTAACTGGTTTGAGACCGGGGCTTTTAAAATCTAATAAATTCAGCGAGGTCTTCAAAAACCGCCTTCTTCCTTTCTAACTGATGTGAACAAATTTTGACCCCATTTAATCTCAATTTGCTGCATTGACAAATCCTTCTGATTGTCTTCAAAATCGCATTAAGGGACCGAAGATCTCTAAAAGTATCATTCTTATCGGAATATTTTGAGGTCAACACGGGGGTTGGAAGACTGCTTAAGATATTTTTCTGAGATAATTCTTGAAATTGAGAATAAGAACAATTGGATTAAATCGGCTCAAGTTTCCAAGTTGCCAATCTTGTGATAAGAACTCCCCTTTAAGAACATCATTTGAACCAAATTTTTGAAGTTTTCTGCCTTGCTTGTTACGCCCAACCAAGTGTCAAGTAAGTAAAATTTAACAAAATTCTACTTTTATTAAAGATACTAAGATTTGAAACTATGTTTTTAATTTGAATTTTGTAGGAAGTAAAATGTTCTTTTTCGTAATTTAAAAATTAATTACAAACTCTTTGAAAGAAAATACAAAAACTCGTATGCAATTATTGGAGTAACAGTAAGTGACATATATCCTCGTGACGACTGGAATTATGTATTCGGGTTAGCGAACTCCGCAAGCCGAGTTGGAATTTTCTCCATGGCCAGATACTTCGACCAATTTCCGAACGCACCTCCTGATTTTGGCGACAGCTCGAATCCCAGCGAGGGAAAGTTTTTGACTCGCATTTGTAAAGTCATGTGCCATGAGTTATGCCACATGCTAAGTATGAAGCACTGTATATATTTTGACTGCCTAATGAACGGGTCAAATCATCTGCAAGAATCAGATAGAAGGTCAATTTTTCTGTGCCCGGTATGTCTGAGAAAACTGCATCATTGCATAAGATTTGATATCCATAAAAGGTATAAGAATCTACTGGAGTTCTGGAAGGGAAGAAATGATGAGTATTTCAAATGGATTGAAAAAAAACTCGAAGTATGCGGCCTGAATGAAAGTACTTCTGACTAATAAATATAGCAAATGGTTAGTTATAAGCTAAATCAACTGATTTTTTTTTTGCGTTTGAAGTGATCAATGGCGTGTGTCCAAGAATTTCAAAAGAGTGGGTAGAAACTACGGCGTAGCGTGGCTTTTTTTTCAGCCGTGATTCAGATCATAAAAAGAAATACCAATAAAGTTTTCTCCATCTCAATAAATCTCTGATTTTTTTGAGCTATTTAGTCAATTTTCAGACCTAGCGAAGAGCTGATAGTTTCTCTTTTTTGCGATGGTGAGTTGTTTCAAGCTCTAAAACAAATAGTTCTGTAACCTGCTTTAAAAAGTTTTAAAATATGCGGATTTATCGGCTGCGAGTTTTTCATTTTGAAAATAGATTGACTAAAATCTTTTTTCTTTTTTTTGCTATGATAGCTGCGGTCGGATAGATAGGTTTTAAAAACATGTTACAAATAATTCTGTCGCCTCTTTACCATATTTGTTCGAATCATCTCAGCTGTTGTTTTTCATAGTTTTAGATGCAATGACACTATCTGTGTTTAGATCCGACAGCAATGAGAGTGGCACTAATCGGAGCTGGAGCCGCAGGCCTTTCAGTCCTTCGTCTGATCCCAGAAGAGGTCTTGCAAAATGGAGAAGTTGTCTGCTTCGAGAGCTCAAACTATTACGGAGGTCAGTAACTAATATAATACGAGAGAATTCATACCGTTTTTAACAAGTGGTTGGCGGCACACCTCTTAAGGCCAAACGTTTACATTTCATCAAGATTATATGTAGAAGGAACCTCGGAAAATTTTATTTAAGTAGATTTTCGAAGCAAACTTAATCTTTGAGCATTTTTTGATGTCGTGCTCACAAAATAACCATTATGACTTAACGAATAGGTCAATGGTGCCAATATGCACCAAAAGCGGACGATGTGACCGAAGACCCAACTTCGAGCATGTATAAGAATCTAGTGACCAATCTTCCTACTTGCATCATGCAGTATCCCGACTTCTCATGGGATCATCCTAATTCATTTGTCCACCATACAGACGTCGCAAAGTACCTGTTAGACTACTGCTACAAAAACAACCTGCAGAAATATGTAATCCTGAACAGAAAAGTGACGAGTCTAAGTCGCAACCGAAACGACGGAACCTGGAATCTATCGTCGGTTGATTGCACAGGTGAAAGAATTTAGCGTACTCAAAGAATTTCTAAATACTAGATGAATCTATTCAATGCTTTCCCTATAAATGGTAAAACCGCGTTTTATTGTAGGTAATTCTGATGTGCAGAATGACGAAGTATACGACTATGTTTTTGTATGTTCTGGTCATTTCACGTATCCACGCACAATGGAACTCGACGGTCTGGATAAGTTTCCGGGAAAAGTGTTCCACAGTCGCTGGTTTGACGACCCAGAGGACTTTTCCGGGAAAACTGTGATGGTAATTGGAAAAGCATTATCTGGAATTGATATTTGCTGTGAAATGCAACCGTATGCAAAGAAGATAATTGCCTCGAGTCATTGTCCTACCAAGTATTTCAAACGATACGATAACGTCGAAGAAATTGGTATGGTGACACATTATGAAGATGGATCGTTTGTCCTAAATGACGGTACTAAAATTGACGAGAAAGTAGACGTTGTGATTCTTTGTGTAGGTTTCACTTACGACATGCCTTACTTGGATCGTGAAACATCAGAGGTTGAAATAAGCGATGGTTTCATAGGGCCGCTGTATAAGTTCACAGTCCATGCAAAATTCCCCTCGCTTTTCTTTATCGGCCTCAATCAAAGAATTTGCCCGTTCACATTGTTCTACTACCAGAGTGCATTTTGCTGGGCTATCATAACTAAAAACTTGAAACTTCCCATCAATTTGAAAGAGATTTGTGAAAGTGAGATTTTGGAAAGGACGTCGATTATGAGGAAGAAACACTTCTTTCATCTATCTTTCGATGAAGAGACGGCTCTTGTGACGTTTTTTGCTGAATCGGCAAATTTGCCTCACCCGCCCAAATGGCTAGCAAGGGTAAGAGAAGGAGTGGCCCAGGAAAGAAAACTTGACCCGATACGATACAAAAAGCAGCAGATTTCTATCTTGGACGATTGCAAAATTGTTATTGCAGATCCAGACGGAAATATTGTGCGTCAATTGTACTGAATTGTCGAACTTTGTTTTGAACCACTTAAAAAATCAAAAATGTGTCAAGACCCCAATGAAAAAATGCGAATTCTACAACTAGTGGATTGTGTTTATATATGTGTAGTTTAATCTGATCCATACTATTTAACATGACTCTGTGTGGCACCAATGAAGCCCATTAAAAATAACGATTAAATCAATTTTGTACGGTTAAGAAGCAGAATAAGAAAGTCACTTTCATTTTAGCAGAGAGGCTTTTAAGTTTCAATCAACGAAGTAAAGACACTTATTTAGGGCGTTTTTTTCCATTAGGAAAAATTTTTATAAGTGACAGTCGGATATGTTATTGATATATTGAAGCTGTTTTTTTTTTTTCAGTAACTCGCAGCGCAGAACTTTGATGCACATTTTAGCATATGAAAAATCTGGGTGGCCTGCTAGCCTAGGTGACAAAAATCTACAAAAAGAAGAAAAGCTGGTTGCTGTGCAAGTAGCATACAGAATGTTTCGACCTTGCTAATTTTTGCAATGAATTGAAAAAGTCTCAAATTTTGTTTTCATTTATTTCACCAACCTTTCGGTTGTTTTTGTCTACATAATGAGATAACAAGAGAGGACTTTTGGGAAGCATTAGAATTATGCAATATTAGCAAAAATTGATACAAAAAGTGAAAAAGAATAAGATTGGAAATGCTCTATGAAAGTTCATGCAGTAAGAAATTTATCTGAAAAACAGAAAATCAGACCAATTTTTCTCTAAATTCTAATACTTTTTGAACGATCCATGTCCTAAGAAAGAATTATCTGATCAGATGTATGATTATTTCACCTTACTGTTTTCGTGAGGTTTGTATTGCTAAAGTGATTCCTATGCTGAGTTAAGTTCATGTCAAGTTAAGAATGTTAATATTCCGATACTAGATGGATGTATCTTGTAATCGAGAACTAAACTTTTTCTAGCAAACATTTTTTTTGCATTTTTCGTCAGCTCATTTTGCGTATGTAGGTCAACGATATTATCTAGTGGACTGTGCTGCTTATAACTTAGCCCACAGGATTCATACATTGTACTAAATAAGTTTTTGAGCTAAGTGAATTCACTACCCCCGTATAAGGATGCGACTTGGAACTGTACTTAAATAAATCGAAGTCCTGAAAGAACTGCTTGGTTATTAAGCTGAAGTAACTGCTAGGTTAGCGTGGTAAATTCTATTAGTGTGGTTTCGTCGAACTTGATGACGGTTTTTTTCTGAATCCTTTTTAACTGTATACGATGCATCGGTTTTGGGTTGCAATTAGTTACGGTCAATTAGTATCTATCAGACTCTGAAATAATTTTCGAGATTTTTGGCATGATTTTTGTTCCTAAGATAGTAGTATTTTCATAAAATGAGTATTTCTGTATTTCAAAATTGGCAGATTTTTGTTTATTTTCGAAGTAAAACAAAAAAATCAACTGCGTTTTGCTCCAAGTTTTATCTAATTTTCGACTGGGTCTAGTGGCGTTTGTCTTTGACCGACTTCTTCTTTTTCTTTAGCTTTTATACATTAAAGCTTCTAGCAAAGAACTAACTGGCTTCTCATTTTTTTGCTATTGAGAAATTATTGTTTGAAAAAGCTATCGGCTTTTCTTATAGTTCTTTTCTAAATTATCTCAGTTTTTTGTCCAGTTTTCATACAGTGTAGATTCCCGCCATGCCGCGTTCAGTGTTTTGGAGCATCCTTTTTTATCAGTTTGTTCAGATTTTGTTTGAAAAAGTATGTTCCGCATTGCTTTAACTTTTCCGGTAGTCATTACTTAACACACAATCTTGTTTATAGGTCCGGTTGTTTTTTCTTTTTTTTTTTCAGGAACACGTCTGCTAAGTTATTCACGTTCAAATTTGATTTTTCATAATTTGACGTTTGATTTCTTTTCAAGTTCAGTTCATTTCCTTTGTTAAAAGGAAAGCAAACTCTACTATTGAACAGCCAAGGTGTTAAGGATACGGAAAACGTGATCGACTTGTAGTTTCGAAAGTCGAATTTAATTATAGAATTTCTTGTGGATTAAAAACGTTATCTAGTTTTTGGATAACGTGTTTTCATAACGTGTTTTTATGGATCCAGTGTTTTCATATTGGGTTAGTCTCAAAAAGTATCAATTATAAAATATTCTAAATATTCGAATAACTTTCATATGCGGCTAATCTCAGAATTGTTTTTGAAATGGTTCCAACTATCGTTTTAGTACGAAGAACTTTTTATTTTCAGTTTCTGTGTGTATAAGAAAATGTGGAGGAACTTTGTGTTCGGGTCTGTTTAATGTTTTTCCACATAAAATCAGGTTACAAAAAAGCATCTAAATGAGTCGATATACCAATTTGAAGCCCTTTCAGTAGTGATTCAAATGACATGAAAAAAAATTTCATAGTTTTCCGAGTATCGAGAAAAACTGGCTTACAATTTTTGATTTTTAAGAGTAATGAAGGTCTTGCTGATTTTTTTCCGGAAAAAGTCTTAAAATAAGCATAAAAGTCTCTTATAACTACAGACGTGCATTCATACATATTGATGCATTTATGATTGCTTTAGGTATATGCAGTTTTTGAGTTCAATTCAAATTCATCTGCTGAAAGTGACGTAAATAGCACTCTCCAAATACGAACGTGGAAATGGCGCACAAAAACGTGAACCATTTCTAGTTTCGAAATTGGAATTTAATTTTTAGATTTCCAGCAGAATAAAAAGCTTTACCTTTTGATCCAGTTTTTTCAAGTTGGTTTCATTTTATCAAAAAAAACGCCCGTCATAAATCGTTCTTTTCTCTTTGAAATTCGAAAGTTGAGATTTTTTCAAGAAAATCAGTGTTTTATTGTATCTTTCCTTGCGTTCATTACTCTTTTGCAATCTTCGATTGGTTATGTTTATATTTGCAAAAAAAATTGTTTCCTAGTATCTTTTCTGCAAAAATGTTTGTCTAACTTGCCTATATTACTATGACTGTCAAATATTACTTTTTTAAATAGTTTTACGTCAGATCTTTTTTTCACATCACGCAGAAAAAACTACACTAAAACGGAATAGTCTGTGCTGTTTGCACAGTAACCGTTTATCCTTGTTAATTAAATGTTTTCTGCTGATGCAATACTGGCATTCAAGCTTGTCAACATGCTTCAAAAGCTTGTAGATCTCTACTTCAAAATGGGAACTAAGTAAAAATGGAAAATAAAATAGATAAAAAGTATTAAATGTTCCTTAGTCTTCAAGTGAAAATGATGAGAATGTGTCTTTCCAACGGTATCGTTTTGCTAATGAATATCGTTGTCTCCCTTTTTGAACCAATATTTATTTTTAGAATGAATCGATGAGGTAATCTAGATGTGTCGAGTCCGGAATAGTAACCAAAAATGAATTAGATGCGGGTTATAATGGTAACCATGGTAAGCACTGTGTGAAAAACTGGGGCGGCTTTTTCCCTTACAAGTTGGTGAAAAATGATTCAATTAAGCATGCGCTAAAAGCGCAACAGGAATGAATAGCAAGGGACTAATTTTCACTGCAGTTCGGCATTAAAATAGCGACTAAAAAGGAAATGAAATGGCGTGATTAATAGACGTTTACTAAAACAAACTGATGATTGCAGTTCAAATGGTATGTTTGCTCACTTCTTGTTTGCGTTGGATACTTTGGGACATTTAAAAATGGGGCAGGTTTAGAATTTGAAAGGGCTGCATACTTTTCTTCTCAAATGGTTTGATTAGCCCATTTTTAACCTGAAATTTTGATCATGTCCTTTTAAAAGTCCATTTCACTGCCTTTTGCGCTAGCTAACCAAATGTTTTGTTTACGTTTTACTCTCCATCATGCCATCTACGTACAAGACTTAATTGTAAATTTTTCTTGATTTTTTCTTTCAGATTTGTAATTGCACAACGTGAAAAAGCAGCTATAAAAATAATGGATGTGCTGCCTTTAAAGAATTCGCTGGAGTTGTCTTAACAAAAACTGAGCGAGTGAGTTTTCGTGTTTTGGCGTGGTGAGAATGAGTTCGATGGTCGTGAGTCGAGCTCGGGTTTACGCCGACGTGAACAATCTTCGTCCTCGGGAGTACTGGGACTATGACAACCAGACAATCGAGTGGGAACCAACGGATGATTACCAATTAGTTCGCAAACTCGGAAGGGGCAAGTACTCCGAGGTATTCGAAGCTATTAACATGAAAAGTAGCGAAAAATGTGTAGTGAAGATTCTAAAGCCTGTTAGCAAGAAAAAAATTAAACGAGAGATCAAAATTTTACAGAATCTGAGGGGCGGACCGAACATTATCCAGCTTTTAGCTACAGTTAAAGACCCAATTTCGAGGGTTCCTTCCATTGTTACTGAGTACATTAACAACACAGATTTCAAAACGCTTTATCAGAACCTGTCAGATTATGATATAAGATACTATTTGTACCAGCTGTTAATAGCAATAGACTATTGCCACTCGATGGGTATTATGCACCGGGATATTAAGCCGCACAATGTCATGATAGACCACGAGAACAGACACCTCCGACTGATTGATTGGGGCCTGGCTGAATTCTACCACCCTGGAAATGAGTACAACGTCAGGGTAGCCAGTCGCTACTTCAAGGTAAAGTATACATATATTAGTTGGAGAGCTCATCCCAACGTTAATATATTAGTTGGAGAGCTCATCCCAACGTTAATAACCCTTGCGATCAGCAAGATTATTGCAACCGGGTACTAGATTTTTTCGGTGAGCAGATATCAATTCGTGAAATCTTTTTGTGATGGGTCCCGCGCGCTACGTGTCGAAAAGATTTCAAAAGCCATATAGTTAGTACTTTATATGACCAATGTACATGTAAATTCAATTGAATTCGCTTTTTAGAGAGATAAACTTGTGTTATAAAAAACGAAATTTTCCAAGCATTTTTCTGTTTGCCACACACCTGTTATAATTTTCTAGGCTGATTTTCTATGTACAATAGTTCTTTGATGAATTCGAGTTGCATGAACTCTATCCGCTTAATTGGAGCGAAGTCTTGTCTGCTTTTATTTGAGAAACTATCAGAGTTTTTGCCAAGGAGCGTTATTCTTCATTCACACGTACTTGGTACGTGTTTTGCAATCGCTTTGACTATTCAGTGATTAATTTTTTCCAAGGCTAATTTTCGTGTTTTCTTAAGAGCTCTTTTCGCTAATTTTTGTTCCGTGTGTTTTCAAGTGAAGCTTTGGCTCTATCTAAATTTAAGTCGATTTTATGGCAATTCAAGTAGAAAAATCATTGTTTTGTTCCAAAGCAAATCTATCTATCTATCTTTATCTATCTATTTAAATGCGTGTAGTTCGACACATATCTTGCCATGTTTAAGCGTTTTTTGCAACAGTTAAGGGCATAACGTATCTATGCGTGGTTAAGCTATATCGTGTATATTGCAATGCGTAAGATTTTTTTGGTTTTCCACTACACTATATTTGAATGCGTGTGACACGTATCTTGCCATGTTTAAGCGTTTTTTTTTTGCAACAGTTAAGGGCATAACGCATCTATGCGTGGTTAAGCTATAATGCGTAAGAACTTTTTTTTCGATTTTCCAATTTGAATCTAAGTGTGTTCCACCTAGTTACATAAGCAATGCTTGTGTTATAGTATAAACTATCTTTTTTTTTCAACCTAAGTCGCAAATATTGTTGCGACGAAAATATAGTTGTGATAAAAAACTGTTCATTTTGAAAGTGTTCATTTTGATCAATAACCAGCTATTATGTACAGCCAATGCTAAGGAATTTAACACATATTCTTATTGTTCCGTCTTTCATATTGAAAGTAACGGAATATTTGTGCTCGGGGTGGTTTGGGACAGTTAACGCGCGATATATTTTGCGCTATTAACGCGTAAGCGGAGATTTAATCCATCATAGAAATTGTTCCAAATTGATTGAAGGAGGCATATTTGCCATAATTGATTTGATACTAAGAGCGAAATGTATCACTTTGTACTTAATATGGCGTGTGGGGCGATGATTTTCAGAAAAAAAAACACTAATTATAAAAAAAAATTCATTTTTTTCATTACATTTATTTTTTTCTGGTTATTACTGTTCCATATACTGCTCTATAAATTGAGGCATGTTAGTTGGTAATTTTTTTTTTTTGCAAATTGACTGGTACTGCTAATGCGTCATAATTGGCGTGCGTCACTTACGAAATTTTGAAGACAAGTTTTTACTCATTCTGTTTTTCCCAGTAGCGTTATCAGTCATGTTTTTGCTTGTTTATGCGAAGTACAACTTCGTCTCTGTTAAACGTTAGCTACACAAACGTGGGATGCTGTCAGAGTTTCCCCAGGGGCTCCGATTTTTGTCTCCAATTAAGAATGCCCAAATCGTTTTAGTGTATGAGATAAGATGATTTTTCAGTTTTTAAGAAAACTCAACTTATGCAATAATTTACAAAAATTGAAGTTCACAACCCTGTAGTTGGGTGCTATCAGAGTACTCTCAAGGATTGCGAATCTTGCCTCCAAATATGACTGCTCCAGTCCTTTTCGAGATATGACGTGTATAATGATTTCTTAATTTGTTTTGAAAACTTAGATTTTAAATAGTTCAAAAGATGTGAAATTCTCATCTTGTAGTTGTGCACTGTGAACGTATTGTCAGCAGTTTCAAGATATAAACCTTGCACCCATGTGTGACTGCTCAAATGCTCTCAGTTTTCGAGATATTACGTTTTTTTGTGTTTTTTCGAAAATTTTACAGAAATTCAAAATGTAGAAAATTTTGTCAAACTTTGAAGTTCCCAACACTTTTTTTGAGTGCTGTAAGATTACTATCGATGTTTGCTAATCTCACTTCCAAATTTGACTGTTCAAGTTTTTGTAATTTACGAAAAAGACGTGTGTTGTGATTTTTAAAAAAAATTCTGAAAACTTAATTTTATTTTTTCAAATATCAATTGAATTTTGAAGCCCTCTTCCTTGTTATGAGGGAAGAAGACTCTCAGAGGGTTGCGAATCTCGCGGTCACATACGACTGCACAAGTTTTTTGCTATTTTGCCAGATGTGACGTTTTTATGGTTTTTCAATTTTTTTTTGAAACTTAAATTTAAAAGTTTTCCAAGTTCCTAACGCAGTAGTTGGGTTCTGTGAGAATACTCTCAGGAGTTGCAAATTTATGCGACTGCTAAAATGCGTTTATTTTCCACGATGTGACGTTTTTTAATTTAGATATGAAAACTTTAATGGTTTTTTAAAATTTGAATTTAAAAACTTTGAAATTTCGAACCCCGTTGTTGAGTGTGTCAGAGTACACTCAAATGTTCTAGATCTTTGTTTTTCAAAATATGAGGTTTTTTTAATGAGTTCTCAAAAATTCGAAGCATCTAGTTAAAGTTATATAGTTATACGCTAGTTGTAGTTATGACAATTTTCAGCAGGAGTTTTATTTCAAAAGTTAATTTTCGGTCCTTGGCTTGTTTTTAAATTTTTCTTTGAAATCTTGTGCTTGATATAATTAGTTTTTATCAAATCGGAAAATAATTTATTTTTACAAATGACTGGAGATTTCAAAGTCAACCTTTTTGTTTTGAAAATTTGTTTGGGAAAAATTGACGTTTGTTTCAGAAGTTCAATAATCCTTCTGTTGGACTTGAGCCTTTTTAGACATGACTTCTCTCTCAACGTCTGCCTATCTGTTTTATCCATTCCGTTATCTCTGTCATATCTATGTTTCCATAAGTTAATTTTTCTATTTATCTATCTATCTATATCTATATCTATCTATCTATCTATCTATCTATCTATCTATCTAATCTATATCTATCTATCTATCTATCTATCTATCTATCTCTCTATCTATCTATCTATCTATTTATCTATTTATCTATCTATCTATTTATCTATCCATTTATCTATCTATTTATCTATCTATCTATTTATCTGTCTATCTATTTATCTATCTATCTATTTATCTATCTATCTATCTATCTATCTATCTATCTATCTATTTATCTATCTATTTATCTATCTATTTATCTATCTATTTATCTATCTATTTATCTATCTATTTATCTATCTATTTATCTATCTATTTATCTATCTATTTATCTATCTATTTATCTATCTATTTAATTATCTATTTATCTATCTATCTATCTATCTATTTATCTATCTATCTATCTATTTATCAATCTATTTATCTATCTATTTATCTATCTATTTATCTATCTATTCATCTATCTATTTATCTATTTATCTATCTATTTATCTATCTATTTATCTATCTATTTATCTATTTATCTATCTATTTATATATTTATCTATCTATTTATCGATCTATCTATTTATCTATCTATTTATCTATTTGTGTATCTATTTATCTATCTATTTATCTATCTATCTATCTATTTATCTATCTATCTATTTATCTATCTATTTATCTATCTATCTATTTATCTATCTATCTATCTATCTATCTATCTATCTATTTATCGATCTATCTATCTATCTATCTATATATTTATCTATCTATCCACCTGTCTATCTATCTATCAGTCTTCTTTTTATCAATGTATGTGTTTGTTTACCTTTTTATATTTTTATTCAACTAACTGTCTATATATCTATCAATTTTATCTATCTTCACATTTTCTTTGTTCTATTTATGTTTCATATAAGTATCAACCTATCTTTTTATTTTGCTATCTATCTATCAACGTTCAAATAAGAAATTTTGAGTATAAAAAAGTGAAAATACTGTTGAATAGATCTAGCAGCTTCAATGTTTTGATTTTGAAAAGCGCCAACATCCAAATGTTTAGTTTTATGCTTCTTGTTCTCTTATTTTTTTAAAACTTTGGAACAGTGTTTTTTTTTTCATCTAGCATTTTTCGTAGTTATTTTTATTGGGATCTGTATATGGTTTTAGACAGATTCACCTCTTGGAATGGTGTTTTCAAAGCCTGTTGTAAAGAAAGAACATTGTTATCTATTTGCTGTTATAATAAAAATAGTCTAAAAGCTAGATATTCAAAATCGTGATTGAAAAATGATTTTAAATGAATTTTTTTTTGATTTTTCAAGAAAGTTTTAATTGACGTTTTATGTTTCAAAAGTCCCTAAGTGGACACATTGAAGCTTTTTCAACGGTCTGGTTTTGCTGCATGTTAAACGGAATTTTTTATAGATCGTTTAAGCTTAGTCCGATATTGCAATTCTTAAGAATTATTTCCGATTTTCCAATTTATGAATGATCAGCCAAAGTAAGGCTGTTATCTATGATGACAGCATGGGAGGGGAACAGGGCAGGGTATTGTAGTGTGTTTTTGAGATTCATTTATCTATATTTGGGCAATACTTAAGCTGCGTTCCACTTTCCACATGTTTAAGAGGTGCCTATGTTGGCCTGTTTTAAGGCCAGTACATTGCGAGAGTTAAAATGATGACTCAAGTCCACGTTTTAAATTCTCTTGGAGCGCGAATGCTCAATTTCTACATTTTTACTTTATTCGCAACGCAAATTTTCACGATTTACTTTTCGTTTAATTCATCAAATTTAAAGTTCAACCCTATGGTGGGGAGCTGTCGGGATGCACTCAGGGAATGCAAATATTGCCTTCAAATATGAATACTCAACCCTTTTAGATTACGAGATATGTTTTTTGTTTTTTACGGACCCAAATACAAAAAAAAAATACTAATCAAAATGGAAAACCTCAACCCTATTGTGGTTGCGTGCTGTCAAGGTACGTTTAAGATATCCAAGATTTGGCGTTTTTTAAATATTAACATAAAAAAAGCTTACAAAACTTGGAATTTTTAGCCCTATTGTGGGAGCTGTCAGGATACACTCAAGGGTTGCATAAAATCTTGCGTCCAAGTATTGCTGCTCAAGTCGCTTGGGTTTCCCAGATATGTTGGTTTTTTGTAATTCGTTCGGTTTTCAAACAAACGAGCATCCTGATAATTTCAACCGTATGGTGGGTTGCTGTAGACTTAAAATAAATTTTTGACTCATTTAGACTCTAGTGGTCAAAACTTAGTTGGAAAAGCAGCTCAGTATAGTTTTAAAAATGATCCATTAGGTCCATAAGGACATACTTTGGAATTATTACGTCTCAAAATTTAAACCCATAATTCGATGTGTACTTCTTGTAATCCGCAGGTACGAGTTATGGCTCCTTGCTATCTTTTTATATGTATCAAAAGCAAACCGTGCGGTGTTTTTTTTATTGAAACGAAGCTCTGAAAGTTTGGGAATCCTTTTGAAAACGCGATTATTTTGACCCTTCATGGCCTACATAATTGTTATAGGAACATTTTCAGGCCTTTTCAGTGAAATTTTTTATAATTTTTTTTATATATACAAAAAATCCATTCAACTTGCAATATGAGATCAGATACCAAAACCCATAAAAAGTTCTTACTTTAGGACTAAAATTCAACGTGCATCTTGGAGCTATCGTGGTGCAAAGCTTTATCGCTATAGAAAAATAATTTATGTTTTCTTTCAAAACCGAATTGACTTTCCTATTCTGAAATCAAAACTTCAGCTCATAAAATGAGATATATTTATATTTCAAAGACCTGACTTGACTTTTTTTTACAGTAAATCAAAGGGGTGTTGACAATTTGATAATGTCTTAAAGGAATTGAGTATAGCTAACCCACGTTCCGTATACCAACTCGTGGATGCTTTACTGATTCGAGATATTTCAGATGTAGTCCCCGGAACATTAGTACGACGGACTCCATTTGACTTTAGGTTAATGAGTACAATTCTGAGTAAGTAGATCATGTTTTGAACCGTAAATTGAAAGTAAAAATATCAATGAAATAATAAAAACAAAAGTTTTTCTAAAATAAGCCAAAATGGCACTCTGGAGTGGGAACCTGCGACTATTTTTTTTTAAAATGCACACACCTACCAAGTTTTGGATATATGACCATTTTGGTCAAAAATAATCCAAAATTTGACCTTATAGTTTAGTTTATCAATGAATAGGAAACCACCGATAGATTATAAGACCATTTTAGTTTTTTGCTTGTACTAAATGTCGCTGTTTTTGTACATTTTAGGAGGGTGTTTTTACATTCAACTATTTACTTGAAGCATCGTAGGTGCGAGTCATGCGCTAATTTATGATTACTTCTCAGAGTTCAAAACTTGAAACTGCAAAGCCTAGTGGCTCAAGAGATTTACTCTTTTTGCAATTTTCTCAATTCTGGGACAATTTTAACATGATTGTTTCAAGTCGTCTTTCAGATTAAGTTGATTTCTATTCTTGCGATGACTACCTTTTTAAGTCGATTTGATTATTGTCGCGGTGTTATCAAAGGAAAACTAATTTCAAAATCCAGAACTCTATCTTTGTCGAGATTTTCTTAGAAGATAAGATTTACTAAATGGAAAATACCGTTGTGTTCAATAATCCTTTGCTCAAACTGATGTATTATACTGTCAGTCCACTTTTTTTCTAAGCTAACCCTCATAATTAAGTGATCATCCAAAGCTTCAAAAGCTTATTTAAAAGTTTGTGAACTGCGCATGTGTTTCATCCGCTTTATTGGTGGCTGGTGTTTGGAAAATAGGAAGGCAAGAAGGGCATACCGCGATTGGCATAAAATTAACCTTAAAATCTATTGGCGGCAATTTTTCACAGCTTATTTGAACTTCTCGCCATTTACAAAATCAAGCTAAGTTTTGACATTTTTGCTTGCCTCTCCGATGTGCACCTCTGCCCTGTACCAATACTTAATTTTATAAAATTTGTCTTCATTGCAAGGCATTTTTCTGTATTTTCTTGATTTTTGTATTTTTACAAAGCCGAGTTATTTTTCGCCGATTTTTCGCTTGTATTTGTGAAATTCAGCCTCGTCTCTGTTTTTGAGGTTACGTTTCTGATGTGCAATTATTACGCTGCGACCACCAATAGGCTGCAAAACTTCACTTTTCGTGAAGAATTTTAAAAGTTCGTGTTTCATATTTCTGTCTTTTCAAATGAAGTCCTGTGCTCAGTTTCAGATTTTTTTTAGCAGTTGGAACAAGGTTATCAACGCGTCTCTGAAAGCATAATGTTTTGACCTGTTTGATCGTGAAATCAAGAAAAATAAATGTTAAAAACCCCTGTCTAATTTTGTGTTTAGGTTATTGTTATTATTTCTAAACTTTGTAAATATCAATCTATAGTATCTATAACAAAGCTTAAGTTTTAGTTTTTTGTTTCCATTCTGCCATGGAAATATGGATTTTAATTTTTGATTTTAGGAAGAATGAAATTCCCTGATTCAGCAATTCATTTTGAAGCTATTTTGGTTCGCATTGCCCGCTAGTTTAACGTAGGTGTGTTGAAATGTTGCTCATTACAAATGATGCTCATAGCAAAAAAGTAGAAATTAGTTTTGCTTGCGATGTCCATTTTAAGCCGTTTTATCTACACAAATTTGATCTTTTAGGGACCGGAGCTCTTGATAGACTACCAGCTATACGACTACAGTCTCGATCTGTGGTCTCTAGGCTGCATGGTTGCTAGTATGATCTTCAAAAAAGAGCCCTTCTTCCAAGGCCACGACAATCACGACCAACTAGTCAAAATTGTGAAGGTCCTCGGATCCGAGGAGTTCTACGATTACATAGACAAATATCAGATAGGTCTGGACTCAAAATTCAACGAGATCCTAGGACGACATACAAAGAAAAAATGGGAACGCTTCGTGAACTCTGGGAATCAGCATCTAGTAGGGCCAGAGTCACTAGATCTTCTGGACAAATTGCTCCGATTCGACCATCAGGACCGTCTGACAGCCAGGGAAGCAATGGACCATCCTTATTTCCAATGTGTAGTGGCGGATGTGACAGCTGCCAATTCTAAATGCAATCCGCCTCCTCCTCAAGCTCCTCAGCAGAACAGAACAGCTCAGAGCAACTCGTCTGACATGTTAAATAATGCGGATGCGGCTGCTTAAAACGGACGAGAACTTGTGACGTTTCTTTTAGGCTCTTTTTCTGTGACCGTGCACCAAAATAAGAGCAAGTATTTGTTTTTCATGTATAATGTGCGTGTATTGTCAATGCACAAATAGCAGCGAAATGAACAGCCCTTTTAAAAATGAAAACGGAAAAAGAGCCATCTTGTACAACAAATCGTTTGCTAACTGATGACGTATTTCTATCTGTTATTTATATCTCAAGCTAGGTGTCCAAATGAAATGAATTAATTCAATGTTTCTGATGCGTGAAGATTATTTCGTCTGTTCTGTACGAACAAGTTACTCGTGGCGTCATCACTTCGGTCATTTTTACAATCGAAGTGATTCAATTTCGTTTGCACCCGAAAGCCAAGAGATGTACGTTTGAGACAGAAGCGGATTTAGAGTGGAGAGACTAAGGATATGTTATTTCAGCTATATATTTTTTCCGAACAAGCCTATCTGCTTTAGACAGGCGATTATGAGGCAAAATTCAGCTACAATTCAGGAAAATAGGCGCACAGAAAAAAGTATCCCTTGTTCACAGCATGTACCCAAATGAAAGATTTGACTGTTTCGGGAGAGCCTGGTTGGCAAAATAAATTGGGGAATAAAGTCAAAAAAATTATTCCTTCTGATTTTTTGAAGAAGCATGCTCTGCAATATGTGAATACGAACTAAGGGCGTAATTTTCAAAAATTCGATTTCAAATTTTTTAAAAAAATAAATGATCTATTCTGAGAAAAAGATGGACTGAAAATGTTTTCAAACAATGAAGGTTTGTCGTTTGACATGTATTCAGCCGTTTTGGACAGGAGTCGATCTAGGATGTTATCGAGGGTATTAGAGTATTGGATTGATAAAACATCGACGAAAACCAAAAGAGAGTGTGTGTTTTTATGTACCTGATTGATGAACCTGCTTTCCAAAATTTGTCGAAATTCAATCGAAGTGAGAGGGTGTACCAGTTGAAAATTGTTAGTAATTTAAGGGTAACTAAATTGATTTTCCGAGCCCTCGAAAGCGCTTTGAAGGACCTTACTTTGCTAACCTTTTCTTTGCTATGCCATTTTTTGAAGGTTTTGACCAAAAACTTCCGTTTTTTTTTCGGCGAGCCCTCGCCATCAAAGTTAGAAAATTTATAGGATCCGTCGGTCGAAAAAAGATGTCAAAATAAAGAAAAGTTTTTGGTAAGAAATGAAATGCTGAAGAAGGAATGCCGGAGTAAAATCTGTGGTTACGATAGACTTTTCCCTTCTGCAAACTCTGCTTCATGTCTGGCCAAAATTGAAGATGAAAGAAAATTTATTATTTCAAAGCACGTTGGAATCTGAAACTGAAATTAACTAAAAAATTTTTTAAGTATCATTGAATCACTGAATGTAGTGAAGTCACTTATATAGATGGTGTTGTTTTTGTTCCGGCCAATGGAAAAATGGGGAGGAAGTTTGTATTCCGTTTTTTCTATTTTTTTTTTGTTTTCCACGCAAAAGCAGGTACCACAAATAATCATCGGATTAGGTCGAGTTTTATATTATAAGTTTTCAAAAAGTCGTCTCAGTATCGAGAAAAACAAGTTTGACTTTTAGTGATAATGTTTGATTGTTTTTTTTGTGATTAGTCTTAGTTCGAGCAAACAAAGCGAGCGCGCAGGCTTAAAATAGCTTATTTTAATAAGTGAATAGCTTGCAATAGCTTAGTTTAAGCTGAAACAATAAGTTTTAATCAAGAAAGGTTATTTTTCTTTGATCATTTTTGCGCTTTTTTGGAATCAAAAACTCAAAAAGTTTGCTTATTTTACTGTTGTCCAGTTTGCTTATTTTGCTGACTGTCGACTCTGCTAAACTCTATTTTTGGTCAGATCCTTTTAACACACCGCGCAGAAATACAACCCTACTTTGAAATGCAGTGAAGGCTCTCATATAGCTCTTGGCGTTTTTGTCTTTTTTTTTCAGGAAAAAGGCTTAAAATGCTCTGATAACAACACAACAGATGTGCATTCATACTTAATAATACATTTATGAATGTTTTTAGGTATATGTGCTCTTTTTGAATTCATTTTTTACGTGAGCGTAGCGTAATATGATATAACGATGCAATTTTTTTTCAACAGCAGTCTCAAACAAAAGTGCCACTTTTGAACCAGAAGGCTGCTTTAGCAGTATAATAATGTGCTTCAACAGTTGATTACACCAGCCAAGCTTGTGTGATAGTTTGCATTCTTTTTTCCAACCTGAGTCGCAAAAATTGTTGCGAGAAAAGGTGTTCATTTTGATCAATAACCAGCTATTACGTACAGCCAATTCTAATGATATGAGCACTTGTTCATTTTGATCAATAACCAGCTATTAACTACAGCCAATTCTAATGATATTAGCACTGACTATTATATCACAAATAGCACTTTAGCTTCAAGGTATCATGGATATGTAGCGTTGAGGTAGGGAAGGAGACCCACAACAAAATAAGAGGGTTCGAACCTGGGAAGGGTCGGATGTTTTTAATGAACTTTTTCGTATAGTAGTTAAAATGCGTCCGCTCTATAAATTGATGCATGTTAGTTGGTATTTTTTTTCCAAATTGACTGGTACTGCTAATGCGTCATAATTGGCTCGCGTCACTTAGCAATTATGTAGACTTATAATTGGCGTGCGTCACTTTTGTAGACTCAAAGTATTACTCATTCAGTTTTTCCCAGTAGCGTTAATGGTCATAATTTTGCTTGTATATGCGAGGTGCAACTTCGCCTCTGAGTTAAAAATAAGTTAACACTTTTAATGATTTTTTTAAATCATCAACTGAACCGGAAAAAGCTATTTGTTTCACGCAACAGTATAGTAATTGAAATCCGATATCAAAAGTTTTCCAATTCGATACTTTTCGCTAGATTTTCGAATTGCTTAATTTATACGCAAGCAAATTTAGTGTGGTGGCCTTGAGTTTTTTATATTCCAAATTATTACATACTAAATTTAATAACTTATTATTACATACTAATTTAGCAACTTCGCCTCTGAGTTAAAAATAAGTTAACACTTTTAATGATTTTTTTAAATCATCAACTGAACCGGAAAAAGCTATTTGTTTCACGCAACAGTATAGTAATTGAAATCCGATATCAAAAGTTTTCCAATTCGATACTTTTCGCTAGATTTTCGAATTGCTTAATTTATACGCAAGCAAATTTAGTGTGGTGGCCTTGAGTTTTTTATATTCCAAATTATTACATACTAAATTTGGGTTTTATGCGTTTTGCAGCTTTTGTTCATCCAAGTTTTGCCGCTTTCACGCTCGTGTTTGCGTAGTTACACTCTCGAAATATGAACTTTGAATTATCGCGAAAAAACGTGGACGATTTCTAGTTTCGAAAGTGGAATTTAATTTTTAGATTCTCCGCCGAAATAAAGTTTTTACGAATGCAGGTTTCTCAAATTGAATTAATTACGTCAAAAAAGAGTCAGTCATAAAGTCGTCTTGAAATTCAAAGAGGGTTTAAAAATTTTCACTTCTTTTGTTTCCTTGCCTTCATTGATTGTTTATGAAGTCTGTTTGCTATGTTGATATTTTGTGGTTTGATTTTGTATTTCAATTTCCATTGAATTCTTCTGCTGAAAAGAAAATAACTTACGATTTCTAAGCAAGCAAGTGGAAATGGCTCTAAAAACTGGAATCCTTTCTAATTTAGAAAATAAATTTCAATTGTAAATTTTTCCAGTGGAACAAAAAATCACGTTATCATCCAATTATCTTAAATTGGATCAAATTAAGCAAAATTTTGCATCGTGTTTTGTTTTTGAATTTTAAAACACTTCAAGGCCATTTTTTCCGAAAATGAGTTTTTGTGTTTTCTTGCGTTCACTAACACTTCCTAACTGTCTTTTGGGAGTCTACGACAATAACCCGACTCGACGTCAAGCTGACAGAGCTTTAGGTCGAAACGCAAACTCGCCACCCGCTCCAAAAAGGAAGTATAAGGAAAAAAATCTGTAAACTTTAACCAAATCTACCTTAAAAAACTAGTTGTTTGAGAAAATACACTATTCACTAATGATTCCGCATGATGCATCAAACGAATTTTCAAACTGTAAACTTAAAAACGCACGAGGCATTGCTTCTCGTAAAAAAACTTCCAGGACATCCGCGAAATATTTAGAATTTTGGAGAAAAAATAAATAGTAACGAAAATCTAAGAAATTGAGAAACTATTCCAAATAATTCTCAAACTACTGAAAATTTGTCCTTAAGTTTCCTGATGTTCAATATTAAACTTTTCTCTGTTCATTATGAGCCGCCATGGACGAGTGGAGTACGACACGCGTCTCTCGACACGAGGGATCATGCGTTCAAATCATACTTCGGTCGCGGTCGGAGGGTTTCCCCTGTCATTCACCTTTTAATGGTGGGACGGACCGACTTCGGCAAAATGAATGACCTTATCTTCTTCTACGGATGATCGTACATTGAGTACTACCGGGGAATAATTCTACAAAAAATGAACGGTCTTAATCATCGTCGAGCGGGTATTTTTCAGACTTTTCTTGCTTTTGGAGTGCGTGGATTCCTCAGATTGGATCCGACAAGTCCTAATATCAAAATGACAAAAAAGAAAAAAGTTTTTTCCTGGGCTTCAGGAAAATCCACAAAATAACTTCTGATACCGAAATTGCCGCGGTTGGCGGAAACCAGGAATTGTGGTTGCAATGGGAATACGTTAATAAATAAAACTATAAAGGTAAAAGTATAAAGTAATTTAAAGAATCAGATTGAAATTTGATTTGCTCTGAAAAGGTATCTAAGTCTCATTTCAAAAAAAAATCGTGTTTCAAATCTTTCTTTTTAGTATGTTATTCTGCGAAAACTTCGTTGGCATAATTGCCTTATTTGCAATGCTGCGATGGTTTCTATGTCAATTGGATGTATTTGGACACGTAAATTTGTAATTTGCTTTAATCAAAGATAGTTTAAAGTTTTTGGTTTTTGTTGGTCAAATTCCGAGCGAATATAGCAAACAAGCAGGTGTAGAATATGCCAGAAAAAAATCGACAAGTTTTAGTTTTACTCCAGTAGTATTAGTTTTTGAAGCTTTGCTCAGAGCTTTTTGGAAAAAAATCCTCAAAAAGTCAAAAAAAATATGTTTGGAAAAAAATTATTTTGTTATTTTATGATTTCAGATTAACTTTTTGATAGAAACCTTTGTCAGATATGTTATTCTACTCTCACTATCGAATGCACTTTATTCTAGGTTTTCGTTTAAATCCGATGATAGCTGAA